CAGGAACAAATATCAGGTAGAGTCTGTCTAGCATTACCTCTATCACTGTTCAGCTCTAAACATCATACGAAATAGATAACTAAGACATCACTTCTTTGAATGCTTGGCCAACGAAGCTTCGAGGCTGTTGCGAGTCACCCCTGAGTAGGAGCTCAAGAGTTTTTCAGTTCTCAAGACAGTCGGGTCTTTATACCGGAACGATCCGGATTTTCATGCGGTTACCGAACGTCACTACTGCAACATTCCCCAGGTGGACATTCACTGCCGCGGGGCGACCGCGATTTAAAAATTTAACTTAATTTTTTATTTAAATTAATTTTCTAACATTTTTGGATGTTGGTGGGAAGGAGATTTGAACCCGAGTCGAGCCGAGCCTTCCGAATGTCAGTACGCAATGCTAACCACTGGGCTACGGGGCCGCCAAAAAAACTCCAAAAACTACTTTGAGGAATTTTTTTTGCAACTACAACGAAAACACCAGCTTCAGGGCTGGGAGGAAGCATCGTTTATGATAAGCATCTCACAACGGTCTTTTCCTTCAACTCCCCAAGCTGAATTTATTTCCAGTCACTGGTGGGTAGTTTCTCGTTGCCAAATCGGTTGAGCTCTTCTGGCTTGGAACGTTCTGCTTTTGGACTGGACTCGTCGCCTATAGTTGATTTCTTTAACAAGCGCCGTCAGTGGGTCTGCCCTAGGCTATAAATCTCCAAATTAATGATCGCTTCTTTGTAGAGTTTTGCCACCCCTTCTTTTGCAGACGGCAGAGAAACTCTTCTCTGCAGAATACACTTATATCCGCTCCAAAGACCCATCAATCAACACTGTCTTCCATTTATCGAGCGCAATGTATATATTCTCTACAGTTTCCGGTCGCTTCTCCACAAGTTTTGCATCGGGTTCAATTTCTACTCTTATAGCTTAGTCCTTCTTTCTTACCGGAATGCCTCAAGTTCCAATTTCTGCGTGTGCATATTTCTTTATTCGGCTTTACTTTCCAACTAGCGGTGAAGTCAAATTTCATACATATTCATATCTATAATATGTATATGTACATACATACCTATATCGTACTCAATATTCTGTACAATTTAACGCCACTGCAATTCCACACTTCCACTAAAGCGAGCACATTGCTGATTTTGCTTCTTTGCACATTTCTTTCTGGGCCAAGTGCACTTTATTAGAAACACATCCGCGTTCTTCATTCTTCTACTCTATTTTCATTTGGCTACTTCTTGTTATTTTGTACTTATTTAGCATCACATTGCATTTCCTACTTTGGCAGTTTTACGCCAGCAACGCATCAGCAGCAACTGTGGAGCGAAGTAAGTGATGCAACATCATTATCGTCAGCTTCATAATCCATCAGTACAATTGAAACCATTTGAACTTTGCAATGTGTAAATTACCTCATCAATGTGAACTGCCACTTTGGGCTCGTCTACATATATGTATGTATATACATTCGTGTATGTATATATTCTCGTAAATATGTAAATGTCTGTGCATTATGAACGCTCTGAATTCGCCTCAAATTCTCCAATAGAACTGCACGGAAAACAGAATTCGAGGTGGTATGAGAAACACTTCTCGTTATATACATACAGACTATATGATAAGTATTCTATCTGTCTCAAAGCAATGCATCGTAACGTTAAATTCTGCTAGCTAGCTGTTAGATATTCCATCTCAATGAATTTCCCTTCCTTCTTTACAAATTTCGGGGTGGAATGAGCGCGAATTTACTCAAACTTAAACGTTGGCTGCTTTCATCGAACCCCAGAAATCTTAAAATTTCTGAGAAGTCGTTCCAACTCATTGCATTCGAAAATAAAGGAGCTCCCCATTTCGAATTCCACAGATGGGCAATGGATAAATTTGTTACCCTAATAAGCGCGCCAGGTGCATATAATACTCCAATGAATGCATATAATTTTTTATGAGCAGCTGGCATGCAGTACCCAAAACTCGTAAAGCTTCTGCTTCTGTATATTTCAATAATGGTGTGATCTATTATCAGGAAAAATGCGAATGAAGCTTTACCAAACATAATATTTTTTTGAACTGATGGCCTTCCGATTGGCAGCCCTTCACAGATTCGCTGCCAAACAGTTCCATCAACAGCCGCGACAGTGTCTTCAAAGTTCTGTTCACTATTACTTTCAGAATTCGATAAAAATCCTTGGCGCCTCTGTCCTCTACAGAGATTCATAAAATACTCATTTTCATTGACAATCACTGTATCACCCTGAGTTTCCTCGTTGTCTCGAAAATAACTTTGACTCTCGCCTTGATCATATTGAAAAATTGAATCTTCTTCACTTGAATTCATTTCACTTATTTGTCGAACTCTTTCCAACTCTCTCACTGACCGTGCGGATATATTAGGGGTTGCAGGGTCAAAATACTCTCCATTGAATAATCGGATGATGTAAGAATTTAAATAGATGTACGAATTGAAAGTCAATTTTCAAAGAGAGTCTTTTGACCGCGCTTGGCACGTTTAGTGTGAACCAAAAAATTTCAATTATTTCAGTTAAAACATTCGGAAAAATGTATGCTAAGTTTACTGGCAATACCATAACAAGCAGTCACTTTAAAGACCCGATTCATTGAGACATTGCCAGTGCACTTTGAGATTAGATTAGGCCTTCTTATTATTGAGTTTGGAAATGATCATATTCTGATTTCTCAATCTAGTTCCATACTTTCGTCTCGTCTTCGTTCGGCATGTCTTTTAGAGCTAATTCTGGATCTATGTAATTTTTGGTAGGAATTCAGTTCCCATTAAGATTAGCATACCTACAAAATTTGATTGAATCCTGCTGATTAATGCCATAAATATTTAGTTTTGAGACAAGTTGTCTGTTCAAACTAGACCATGAGAATTATAAGTATCAAATTTTACAACAGTCTGTTTAGAAGATTATTCGTTCAACTTGCCGACCCGAAAATGGGTGATGCCATGACCGCCTAAACTTTTCCTCAAACATATAAATGTTTCTATTTAATACGATCGTTTTTAACAAATCTGACTTTAATTCCATATATACATATATATATATAAATAATAGGTCAAGTAAAAAGTTCGTTCGGTTTTTATCTAAAAGATGGCGTTATTAGTTCAAAGTACTAGTGTTACGTGTCGCATCACGTCATACTATACGACGCTGAAAACGTGTTTATTTGCGCTAAAAGTTTTGCTTTGACAGTTTTTCGATGGATTGACTCAGTACGTTGTGAGCGCTGGTCAAAGCTGGACACCAGCAAAGAGAAAATTCCCTATATTTGAAAATTTTTCTTCGATCAAGGAGAAAAAGCAGCCAAAGCGGCTGAAAAAATCAATTTAGTTTATGGGCCCGATGCTGTAAACGAACGTGTAGCACAAAAGTAGTTTGCTAGGTTCCGCTCCGGTAATTTCGATGTCAAAGATGCACCACGCGTCGGTAGGCCTGTCATCGAAAATTGCGATAAAATCATGGAAATAGTGGAAACAGACCGTCACGTGAGCACTTATTTAATTGCTGAGGAACTAAGGATAAGCCAGCAAACCTTTTGGAACCATTTGCATAACTTTGGATTCAAAGAGAAGCTCAATGTTTGGGTGCCACACGAAGTAACGCAAAAAAAACATGATGGATCGAATTTCCGTCTGCGAATCGCTGCTGAATCGCAACCAAATCGATCCATTTCTGAAACGAATTGTGACTGGCGATGAAAAATTCGTCACTTACGATAACATCGAGTGCAAACGGTAGTGGTCAAAGCTCGGGGAAGCGGCCTAGACGGTGGCCAAGACCAGATTGACGGCCAGGAAGGTTTTGCTGTGTGTTTGGTGGGATTGGTGAGGATTTTCGGCCGAGCTAATCTTCCTCCAATTTGTGGGTTTGCGTGTTGATGTTTTACCAACAAATTGAGGGAGCTAGAGTTTATACTAAGCCGCCTCTGAACGGCTGATGTTTTTTTATGAGGAGCCCTAATTTTTGTGTAAGAATTACACTCGGAGGTGTTGACATTCCCTGCCGAGGGGCGACCGTAATAAAGCTAGCCACTGGGCTACCTCGACCGCCGTTCCATATTTCTCATAATTAAGCATCTAATGAGTAGTATCAGTATGGCTATGTTATAAAACCACCGTTAAAATCAGTGTATAAAGTCTCAGATTACTATTTGAGTTAATCTCTGCAGCTTAGCTTAAAAATGAAGTACGGCTGAAAATAAAAAAATTAAAATGTCTAGAAATTAATTTTGAAAAAGTATACAAATCAAGACTTTTTCTGCATGCCTCTATTTGTCAACTCCTATCATATTTACCAATGTTTATCGCAAGCAAAATTACCACCCACTAACAGAGAACAATAAAAGAAAGAAAAAAAAATCACTACAATTTCTTTTCATATCGTCACGCACTTGCTTTGGCAATCAATGGGTTACAGACACAAATACCACACATACTGTACACACTTACACGTGTATGAGTATATTTCTGTATTAAATGTGCAACACACAAGCCAACTGTGCTCAAGAAAATTTGCGTACATTGAATAACTCTTCACGAAAAAAGTGTCGGCAAAGAAGGATATAATGTATGTAATGAAAAGACTTTTTCATTTTGTCTCAGAAATTTACACTTCTTGATTGGAGTTTTTGCGTGTTCAAGTGATAGTGAGTAGCGGACACGGAAGAGTCGAAGAGTGAAGTGAATTGGTTGAAGCAGACAATGTTTCTATTTGCCGCAACCGGTTTCAACATGGCACATGTAAGATACATATGTCTGTATGTATGCAAATGTCAAAGAACTTGGAGTTACAGTTGGGAACGTGCGAAGCTGGACTTAAATTTCTGTTTATGGCGCGTTTTCTATTTCTCGTTAAAAAATATTGCCTTTCTATACCGTAAAACTGGAAACATGAAATAAACTATATTTCGTAAAATATTTTTCTCACTTTAAGAATTCTTATGCTGGATCAAATTAAATTATAATTTTTTTCTTATTTTAGGTCAGTATACAAACCTACGAGGGGATTGACAAAAGTTCGGTAAGTTGACCAGAAAAAAAAAATAAATAAAATAAAAATTCCTTTTGTATTTATTCGTAATCTTTGTCCTTTTCTATTTTCTCCACATAATCGCCATTGATTTTAAAGCATTTCTTAAGCCTACAGATCCACCTCATGAAACAGTCTTGAAAATCTTGCTTTTTAGGCTTATCAAACTCAACATTAACCGCTTTAATTATCTCCTCGTTGCTATTGAAGACCTTTGTTTTCCAGTTTTTTTTTTTAAATCTCTGGAAATAACCAGAAATCACAACGTGCTATATCCATAGAATATGGTGCTGGACATTTTTTTTCGAACCCAGAGATCGCAATAAAATCAGTCGTTACATCAGCTGCGTGTGATGGCGCAACACATTTTTTTGAAAACTCTTGGTAAACACTCTTCGGTGTACCATTTTACAGTTATTGCCTGACTCTCTCCCAGTGGAATGGCAGCTACGATTTTAGATCGGATGCAGTAAACTGAGATCATTACTTTTGCTGCTGATATTTGTTGATTGGACTTTACGGATGGGTTCGCTCCTGTTGGGCTCCATACCATGGACTACTGTTTGGTTTCTGAAACTTACTTACAGCACCAAGATTCGTCAACAGTAACGACTTTACTAAAGTTGCTAGGCCGGCCATTTTCGAATTTGTTTAGGAAAAGTGGAGCAATATGAACTCAGCCTCTATTTGGGCCTCATTTAAAACTCGTGGTACCCATCCAGCAGATTTCTTCGTGTATCCCAGATGATAATTGAATATTCGCGACACAGCCATGGCATTCAAGCCCAATTTATTATGGATTTTACCAGAGCTAAAATGACGTCATCAGTGGCAGGTTTTGGTCGACCTTTTCGGGGTTCGTCCTCTACAGAAAAATGTCCGGTCTGGACTCTTCGGAAGCACTTTGAAGAATATCTTTAAAGACAGTGCATTCACTGAATATTTTTATTAGCTGTAAATTACGCCGAAGCCCGAAGAGATTCACATGGCGAATTTCTGTTTGGGTTGGTTGGTGACGCAGCTATCTAGCGTTTCCTTAACTTTTAGCCGATCATTCTCAAATTTAATAACTGCAATAATAAAGTAATTGCCAAGGATTTGGAGTTTTTAGATCTTACAAAAATAAATTGAAAGTCTCCAACTGACCGCAATTTTGTTAATCCCCTCGTAAGTATGCTTGAAATTTATTTCTTGTAAATTATGTGTGTGTGTGCTGTGATCTTCCAGCGAACTTTTAAACTTGTTTAGGTCATAAAAAATGTTGCAAAATGAAATGAATGAAGAAGAATAATCTATGTAACTTGTAATCTTGTGATGAGCACAATTAATGTCAGCAACAATCAGCGTCATAGTTTAAATGTTATGTAATTATTTTTTTTTTGTATAATTTTTATCTAAATGTAAGAAATGGAAAAAAGGTTTGGACAACTGACCGCAACGAAAGAATTTTTGCTGTACAAAAGAAGACATATTTTTCTTTGTCTTACTGAACAACGCCATGCATATATGCTTTATATACCTCTCATGTACATGAAATGTTGTATTAACTTTGGTTCAAAGTATGTATGTAAGTACCAGCAAGGGAAGAGATATACCCATTAAAATTTATACCCATAAAAGCGGAATAACGAGTTGAGTTGTATTAGCCATACCCCTCCGTCCGTCTGTTGTATTTAAACAATTATCCAAACCGATTGTATATATAGGACCGATTCGTTCAGATGAATGATTTTGTGCCATAAATTTGTCAAAAAAGCATATAAGTACATTGACACGGAAACTATTGAAATCGGAACATGCCAGCAGTGTGCGCTTTGCTCTTACATACACGTAGGTAAAATAGTTTGCTCGTATGTATTTTTTGGAAAATTCTGTTAAAATGTTCTCGATACATGCCATGGTTATCTGCCTCTTCTTCTTACCTCACATTTGTATATAGCACTTTTGCCACATTGCCTTCCAGTACCGATCAGACACACTTTTATTGAAAGTTGCGAATCTCTCCAAGTGGACCACCTTCCTCTAGTTCCTTGGTCTCGATACACCGTGTCATTGAACTATTTTATAATATAACTTGATACTGATCATTCCAATTGTACTGCAATCTCGGTGACAATCCTGTCTTGAGCAAACCTAAGAAACCAATATCAGATTTCAATCATCTTGTCTTATAACATGGGGTTTTTATTTCTCAACCCACAACGTTCTGGGTACGCTCAACCACAGGTTCTTGCACATATTTCAGCTACTTCTATCAGACACTTTATAATCCCTTCCGAGGGTATTTTCTTCTTGATACTCGATAGAACTTTCTTGCTCTAGGAAGTATCATGACCAAAAATTAAGCGTTACACTCCATAATTCTTTTCTCCAGGTTCATTCTTTGACCAAGAAAGAAGTCTACACCAACTATGACTTCATCAGTACTCTCCGCTACTATGAACTTATGTAAAACTGCCACATTCTCAATTATGACTTCACTGCTTATTAGTCTCTTTAGCTCACCACCATGTCTGTGTCATGCATCCTAATTACCCATAACACTTTCTGGACTAGTCTGCTAAATTTCTGCTGCGCAACTCGATACTCCAGTACTAGCTGTAGCCAACTTTTCGAAATAGTGCTGGCAGACCTGGAAAGGAATTGTACCGTCGAAGGATAATGTTTTTACCCTCGTGGTTATGAAAAGTATAAGACTTTCGGCTTGAATGAAGGCAGCTTTTTTTTCTTGTTTAAAATTATATAACGATTAAAGATATAAAATTAGAGTTAAAATAGAAAAATTAATGTTTATACCGAATTGAGCCAAGAACTGCTGATGTAATAATAGTTTAAAAACCTGTTAAGTTATAAAAGAGTTATGTACAATAAAAATAAGCAAGAACTGAATTCTGATGGAGATTAATACTCGTATATATTAGATGGTTGTATGGAAAAAATCATAGGAATGACCTTGTAGGTATCGCTCTTCCAGTGATCCTGTCAGTCATTTGGAGACGAACGCCTTTCTGCGGCAACAATCTCACTCATCTCATACCGAGAGCTTTAAATAAACTCTTTTTATTTCCCCTGAGAGAATTTTCACTGGGATTCGGCCTTCTAAACAAAACAGCTTGAGCAGATATCGTTCGAAAGCCGATCGGCATACGCACTACGAAGTCTGAATAGACTACGAAGTCTATTAGAATACTCTTTCCATTGAAAAGTATTGAAAGCATCTGTTTATATATCTTAAAGCAAAAAAATACCACCGAGCGGCTGTTAAATCGGTAGCATGAATTAGTTGACATCGCTCTACATTCACTGATGTGGGACCCCAATTATCAGGTTCATTCCGATAAATTGGAGTCGGTTCAAATCTTCCTCCCTATACCAACCGTTAAAAGCTTCTAAATCTACCTACTCTCGTAAGTCGTAGAGACTTTTTGGGCGCATTGTTCGTACTGAAACTTCTTAACGGGTCAATTCGTAGTTCATGTCTCTTATGATCGATGGCTGAGCAGTTTTGAGTTTCGATGCTTAACAAACGCTTCCCAATCATGATTCGTCATATTCCGAACGTTTTGCGGATGTCGGCTCTCGTGTTGATTTGGGCGGATGGAGGGCTGTTACACTCTTCAGTTGGACATCCTGTCTCCATTACGATGGGTGATCTTGTTCAGCCAAATTACCCTTGCCTTGAGCGGTGTATTTAAATACTAGCGTAGTGTGTTATGATAATGATCTTATCATCTTATCCTCGGACAAATATCCTAAGCATCTATTTCGGGTAAAAAAAGCGTACACTTGAAAGCACGGCTTATTGCAGCGGGAGAAAAGGACACTCCGAAAACATGGAAAAAATCTGAGATCTGACTCTTTATGGGAAAGAAACTCGGTGTAATACTAGTTACAAACCTTAGCTAAAGAAAACAGAAAGCCGCGCCAGAAAGTGCGCTATTGGGCAAAAAACGGGTTCAGCGGTCCCAGTGGTGTATTTACTTACAGAAGTGTCGTAAGACTCAGTATGATGAGAAAGAAGTTGTGCCGCATTAGACCCCTAGATAGATGTAACCCGTCAACTAGGTATAGTAGGCGTGGTGTGGACTACATAGATTAAGTGCTAGAAAGTCATTTTTGACCACATGCTTATTAACATTCAAGAGACGTAGGAAGAGCACTAACAGTTAGCTATCTAAAAGTTATTGATAATTGGGTCCAGTATCCTAATTATGAGCCCCATGGGTGTATACAGAAAGTAATAACAGAACTCGCAATAAACATGGAATGCGACTAGGAAGAGGAAGATCTAAGACAGGTGAAAGTCAACTACCTCTGCTTTGGTGGAGATGAATGGACGAGAAGGCAAGATCATCGGTAATTCTGAAGACATCCATTATACTATACTGATGGGTCTAAATGAGAGATAGTTATACCAGCAAGGTTTTTCTGTGAACTCATCAATAAATAAAGGTTTCTTTCTTTGTTCTTTAACTAGAGATGTTACGCATTACTGAATGTGCCAAAGTGGCAAATGCTTGAAGAGATTAATTAGAGCATTTCTGTTGGTAACTAAATCTGTCGGCTGAGAAGAATAATGTGTGAGATCATTCAACAAAGAAGTTAACCGACTATCACGCAGAGAACACAGTGAACCTGAGTTGGGTTTCGGAAGACGTGAATTTAGAAGGCAACGAAAATGTGGACGAACTGGCCAGCGGTACAACAGACACTGTTATCTATCTTAGATCCTTAAACGCCTTTAAATTTTGTCGGAAGTTAATGGACCTTAGAGGTACACTTCAAAAGCAAAAATCAACACTAAATCAAGATGAGCACTAAGCTAAATATTTATAACGACAAGGCATCTACCTCTGAGAAATAATCTTCCAAAACTAGGTAAGGTTAATTCAGATAAGTGCAGAGAGTCACAAAATACGAAGAAATCCTGAAGCACAATCGATTGAAGCGTCAGTTTAACGGTAACGGGCAAGCTTGTATGGTAGGAAGTT